AACAGCACTACACTCTGGTGTGAGTGTTACTTTCTCCAAATCAGTCCACTTTCTCTTCTTTGTCAACAATTCCTTAAGAAATTTGGCATATGTGGGCATTTGCTCAAGAGCTTCAGCTAGCGGAATGTTGATGTGCAATTGCTTGAAGAGATTCACAAATTTTTTGAAGTTCGGGTCCTCCAGGGGCTTCATCAACCTTTGAGGGAATGGTGCGGGTGGGTCATAAGGTTTTAGCTCCTCCCTCTTCGCTTTTTCCTCTTCTGGTTTTGCAAGGGCAGCATGCTTTTGCACAGGCAAACCGCTTTCATTTTGCCTGTGCAAGGCTGATTCTTCACTTTCTGCACCAGATCTTTCTCCCGGTGCTTCCTCTTCTGCCTCTGGTGCCTTTTTTGAGCTGCTAGGGTCTTCCAAGGCTTTACCACTCCTCAATGTCACTGCCACAACTTTAGCATCTTTTGGATTCCTCTCGGTATTAGCCGGTAATGTCCCAGGAATCCTGCCCTGCATATCCGCCAGAGTTTGAGCCATCTGTCCCATCTGCCTCTCCATAGCTAGCATAGAAGATTGTAAATTATTGTTGATGGCTAGCTGTTGAGTGACAAATTGATCCAGGCCCTTCAGATTATTGTCGGTTTTCTGCATGTGAGCCAGTAGCAATTCTTCAAGTTGTGGTTTCTTCTCTGGTTGAGGTGGAGGTTGTTGTTTCTGCATGCCTGGAGGTGGAATGTTGCGAGCACCATTTGAGTTGTTGTTCGCCCAGGAAAAGTTAGGATGCTTCCTCCATTGTGGGTTGTAGGTATTCGAATACATACCACCCTGGCTTTGATTTCTCTGATTGTTGATATAGTGCACATCTTCCACCTGATCAGCCACCAGTGGACATAGATCCCTATGATGAGCACCTTCACATAATTCGCAATAAGCAACCTCCTCTTGTCTACCAAGAGCCAACTTAGCCAGCCTTCGTTCGAGTGCATCGAACTTGGAATCCAGCTTAGCATCAATCTTTGCTTCTAAGCTTGCAACTCTGTCTATCTCATGCAAGCCTCCTCTCCTTCGAATGCCGGTCTCACTACCCCATTCAGTATCTTCAGAGCATATCTTCTCCACCAGTTCATATGCTTCTGGTGCTTCCATTCTTGTGAAACCATTTCGGGAAGCATTATTCAGAGCATCTCGAAATTGTCTTCTGATTCCGTCGAAGAAGATGGAGATCACATTCCAATCTTCAAGACCGTGGCTCGGGCATCTCATTAGAAGCTCCTTATAGCGCTCCCATGCCTCGGTCAGACTTTCATCTTCAGCTTGTTTAAAAGTGACAATTTCCTCTTGCCTTTTCATTGCCTTGGCAGGAGGAAAGTACTTATCCAAAAAGGTCTTCTCAAGCTGACCCCATGTTGTGATGGAACGGGGTGTCAAGTTCTGGAACCAGTGGGATGCATTCCCTAGCAGAGAAAATGAGAACATCCGAAGACGGATGGCATCATCAAACACAGCCGGGCTCTTCATTGTGTCACAAATGTTTGCAAACCGGCGGAGATGTTCATGAGGATCCTCGGTGCTGGCCCCTGAGAAGGTGTACCCATTAGTGATCATATTGATGAAGGCTGGGACAATCTCCATGTTTGCATCCCCAGCCGGAATGACAACACATGAAGCTCGGGCTCCAGCCCTCCGATTCAGACGAGCCCTGATCGACCGATCCTGTTCTGCCATGATGACAGGCTCGATGACGCGCGGCGGTGGTGTAGGTGGTGTAGGGATGACAGGTGGTGTCACCTGCCTTCTCGGTTGACGATTCTGAGTTAGGGAAGGCCTAGGAGTTGTGGATGTGGTAGGCTGCTTCCCTAACTTGACATGCTTCCTGTTCTGTCGGCAGGTCCTCTCGATCTCGGGATCTAGTGGCAGTAAATTGCCAGTCGTCCTCCTTGGCATGCACGAGGAGAATTAACCTGAAAAATTCACCTGCACACTAACACCCAGATCAAAATAGTTCACTCACAAAAATCAACAAAAAATAAGGTATGGCAGTCCCCGGCAACGGCGCCAAAAACTTGATAGGGCAAAAGCGTATATGCCAATTTCCTATCTAGTAGTAAAACCGGAAAGTCCGGGTATCGTCTCTCAGGGACTGGTACAACCTTAAGATTTACCGATTTAATAGAGCAAACTATAGGTGAAAATGATTTAATGAGATTATTAACTACTAGCAAAATTAACTAAACAAGCAAGTGAAAACTGTCGGGTTTAAATCAATGGGAGAAAGCTCTGGGAGACACACCGGGATTCACTACCTATCCTATCCAGATTAATTCACATATTGCAATCAATTTAATCCAACTCTCTACAGCCAGGATATCACGAATGTGCTAGCTATCCCTGTCGGGAATTACTACGTACTAAACAATTAAATCAAATCCTACTGTCGTAGCTCAATGACTTAATTATTTAGCCTGAAGACCGATATCCTATTTAAGACCGCATAGCACCTTATTTAATCCACTGTCGCTTCGATAAGTTACTATGTCACATGAAATAGGTTTAGTTATTAGGGTTTCACTGTCGCTAATCACCTAATTAACTACAAATCAATGTATTGGTGGCCAGTCAACACAAAGCATTAAGCAATTCCATGCAATAGAGATTGGAAGAAAAGAATCGTAAATCAATCCATCAAATCAAGAAATAGCTACATCCTATGGTGTTTCCCCCAGAAATTGGGGTTTAGTTCATGATGAAATTGAGATAAATCGATAGGGTTTTGTTCATCATGTTCTAAATCAACAATAAACAACTAATTCGGTTCAGAAAGTCCAACCAACTAATCGCTCTCGTTGAACTCAGCTCAAACCGCCTGGAAAACTGATCGCCGATGGATAAGAAGTTGCTCGTCTCAAGCCGCCAAGCGTTTGTGCTGTGCCGTTACCTTCGCTTTTCGCCCAAAGAATTCGCCCTCCAAAACAAAAGAATCAAAGTGATCTCCTGTTTCAGCCGCCCCCGATTAATAAAACCTCCTCCCTCTTTTCTTTTCCTTGCCGTCCACCTCTTCAGAAGAAGATCAAACAAATGGGCCCATTCATTCCGTGTCCCCTCAATAATAATCAAAGTCCGCCCATTAATTCCCTCCTTCATTGGCCCAGCAAAGCCGGCCCACATTGCCTCCTGTTCAAATAAAGTCCGCCGCCCAGCTCTAGTATATATCCGCCCCAGCAAATCCTGGCCCAAAATCCTCTCCCTAGTTCCGTCCCCAGCAAGAGAAGAGTAGAATGGGCTTTGGCCCAAATCAATTTCTCTATTCAGCTGCACTCCATTCCCAGGCCCACTTCTTCCTTCCTTTTCGTGTTCTCTTCACCTGTAATGCATTAAACTCATGGCATTAGGTAATAATGGTTTTTCAACCATTCTCGGGTTAGCGTGCCCTAAAATAGCACCAATTGGCTAAAACATACCATGAATAATCACATAAAGTCCAAAAATTCAATATGTTAAAGCCGATTATCATTGTGAAACCCACAAAATTGTCTCGGATTGTGATTGTCCATCACACCATCAATCATCCAAGTCTTATCCTCCGAGAGCCCCACCAACCTCACTCGAAAACGACAACCATCTTTAAGTGACGTTGCTTTGGATCGTCCTTCTTATCAGAATCTGGGACATATGCATTGTTCTTATATCCATGATGGCAGTGAAGATATATTCGGGGGTACTTCTCGCCATCATTTGATTTGGTTGATGAATGTGTTAAAAAGAACACAAGATCTTTTGCAATCACTTTCGCGACTTCCATAGCTTCATTCCATGACTTATATCTCGTATTTGTTATGAAAAACTGAGTATAATCAACTTTGTCTCCCCTATCTTTTGGATCTCCCTAAATAAACACATTCATCTTATTAGTGATACTAACTTTGAAATGTTTGTTGTAGATTGAATTCTTCCAATTTGAATAGATTGAGTCTTACGTAAGTTTCAACACTTTTGATGACTTGTAATGTTTGTTGTAAATTGAATTCTTACAATTTGATATGGATTGAGTATTATGTAAGTTTTAGAAAACTTGATTACTTGTTTGCAACCTTAGATTTTATATTTTTCTTCTTATTAAAAAACTATTGAACACGTTATTAACAATTATTCAATATTCGAACATAAAGTTATTCAATAGCTTTTCAACAACAAATTAGCACATTAAGCATGATTAGCTACCAAATCCTAATATTTCAACATGCAATAACAAAGTTTTTAACAAGTAGACACGTACTAATTAAATTATCAACAACTCAACAAAATCAATAATTCAATATTTTTCGAACAATATGTATCATTGTAAAAAAAATATTTAAGCATATTATCAATTACTAGGCTTCATAAAAAATAACTAATTCAACATAATTATAAAATTATAAAGTTTATCTCACTAACTGTGTTACTCATTGTCTGATATAGTGATATTCAAAAGTCCGAACTTGACCCACTTCAAAAAATACCTATAAGAAAAATATTGTCAGTAACATTAACTTAGTTTCACAATATCAAAAAATTAAACTAAAGAACTTCATTCTACAAATAATATTATAACAAATCTATCCTAAAAAATATAATAATTACAATATCCATAAAATAATAAATTACAATAAAATCACTAAATAATAAATATTCTTTAAAAGTCTAAATCATTGTCAGTAACATTCACTTAGTTTCAAAATACCAAAAAAAAAAAGAAATTAAAAAACTTTATTATACAAATAATATTATAACAAATATATCCTAAAAATATGATAATTACAATATTCATAAAATAATACATAACAATAAAAATTCTAAATTATACATAAATATATCATAAAAAATTCTAAAATAATAACCAAAATATCTAAATTATCTTATATCTATTTAAAAATTTTAATATTCTTCACATATTTACATTAATCGCAAATAAAAAAATTCAAAAAAAAAAACTGGCCACAACTTACATAGCCGTTTTTCCATTGCGGTCGATGTCGCGGCAAGACGTCCGACCATCTCCTCCGCAGACGTGGCCGGCGATGGCCAGACGTCCTGCCAGGACGTCGACCTCCGTGGATGGACGGCTACCTAGGTCGTCGCTGGGAAAATTTGTCGGCATTTTACCTTATCGATTTTGTTCAAAAAAAGTTTACCTTGTCGACTGCGCTTTGTGGAGGCGCGGAGGTGGTGGCGACGGTCGTCGGCGTGAGGTGGTGGTCGCCGGCAGCGAATATATTAGGAGTGTGTTTGGGGAAAGTGTTTGAACTATTTTTGGTCTTGGAATGTGCGAATTGAATGAATTTAAATGTTATAGGTATTAATGTACATTTTTTAATTTAGGGCTACAAATAACGACAAATTAGAGCTACAAATAGTTCATCCCTTGCCGTCGAGTCCTCCGTCATTTTTTTTCTCCTTCACCTTCGATGATCTAGACGGAGTAGAACGGAGAGGAAAGGTCAGTGAGCGAGAAATGAAAGGGGTCAGGAGAGAGAAAAGAGGGCAGTCTTGGAACATGAAAAAGGCAGAACACATTATTTGTAAATAAACCCCCTAGGTGTTGCTTCAAATAACACGTTTTTGCGTTAATTGGAAATACCATGACCCAAAATAACTCATCCCACCTATTTGTTGCCAAACGAATTATTTCGGCCCAAATAACTCACAACGATTTATTTAGACCAAAATAACACATTCTAATAACACATCCAAACGACCCCATAAGTGAATTAGCCTAATGGCTAAACGTGTTGCCTGGAGTAGCTTGAGAGTCGAGTGCTTGAAATCGACACTCAATGGTGTTATATTTTTAATATCCCATTTTTTAATAAGTGGAAGGTGGTAGGAGTTTAGTTTCAAGAAAACAAAAGGGGCAAATTAGTCTTTGCATAGGAATGATATAAATAATCTATTAGTACCACAATCCCTTAATCGTAACCACCCTAATCATTAGGGTGGCAATGGGGCGATTTTGGGACGAGTTTGTCTAAACCATCGCATCCCCGCTTTCAAATATTCAAACCCATACTCGTCCCTTACCTGTGAATTTTGGGTACCCATGGATAATATATGCTTCGTACATCCAACAGTGTAATACCTAAAATTTTACATGTAAATTTTCAATTATAACACTAAACGCACCTACTATATCATGAAGTCTGCAAATATTAATACGGTTCAAAACATCTTATATATCCTAAAACATCTATTAATCCATAAGATAGAGTACAATGTAATCCAAATCATTATTCTCTAATTCTCATACATCTACTAAGTAATAACTAACCAACATAATCTTGTTAACACGAGGGAAAAAGTGAAAGAGTGAAGGGAGAGTTGAGGAAAAGGAATTAGGTTTTGATTTGGGTGTCTACTCAATTGCCTTTCTACTATTTATTTTCTTGAGTTACCTCACTATCATTCATGTGAATAAATGCTTTTGAATGGGAGGTATGTGTATGAGGCGGGAGAGTCTAAAACCATAGCTGCCCCATACTCATCAAAAGTTTTGCGAGTTTTACCCATACCCAGTCAATGCAGGGATTCCCCACATTAACTGGGTTGGGGCGTTCGGGTACCTCGTTAATGGGTTTGATTGTCATTCCTACAAATCATCCATTTTGCTCTCCTACCCTTCGTTCTTCTTAATTGAAAGAAAGGAAGGAAGGGAAATTCTGATCTATTCTTCCCACTTCTCTTCTATCGCCTCTCTTTCCTAGAAGCAAAAAATCTTCTTCAATCTGATCTACTTCCTTTTCGTTTCTTCCTCTCATCTTCTACTACTTACCCATCTCTTGTGTTCTTTCTGAAAACCTAGCAAAGACCCAAAAAAGAGACGATGATGCTATAGACAGCCCTTCGGCTAAATGTAAGTCAAGATTTGAGGCTTCCATGTTCGATTTTTCTTTGGATTTGTTGGGTTGAAAGTGGGATCTTAATCTTTTTCTTTCTAGGTTTTGGTTTTTGGATAAGGCAGAAGGAATAAAATGGAGGGAAAAAGTGAACCGTACCAATTTCCGACGAAAGTATCCTCCTTGGCGATGATGAATGTCCCAAGTTTACTTCCATTGAAGATTAAAGAAGGATGTACAATTTGGGGGCAAGAAGGGCATAAAATGGCTAAGTATGGGAACAAGTTTGTGAGACTTACTTTGGGAGCGTAAATCTTCATTATGAAAGGCATTCGAGTGAAGCTAAGCATGGGTCGTCACAATACAAGTCTTGGTAAATATTGAGAAGGGATCAAATGAGAAGAATGAAGCTTGAGGGACATCAAATGAGGAGTCTGAAGTTGGTATGAAGGTTGTTTGTTTCACTTGCACATGAAGGTACTTACTTAGGTTACAAGCTACCGAGTTTGAGAAGGATTATTAAGTTGGTTTCATGTTTCTTTTTCCTTATTAGTGTTGTAATTGTTTTCCTTTCCTAGGTAGCATAGAATTACAGTTCCTTTTGCCTATATTAGGCCACATTGTATCTTGTAAAGTAGAACATTATTCATCAAGTTTTAAATATAGAATTCTTCGACCAAAAGCTTGTGAGGTTATGTTGATCTTTGGTGGACTCCAAACACTACAGGAAAAATCACCTTCGATTACGAGATTTCCCGTGATTGAATTACCAATTCCAGTGACCAATACATTTGTCACGGGCAATTACCCGTGACAAGCGCACCCATGATTGAATGTCAATGGTCACGGGAAATCCCGTGACCGTAAAGATACAATAACGGGAAAGAAACCATGATAAATGTTCTCTTTTGTCATGGTAATCTCATGATTAAGTATTAAACATGAGAATAATCCCGTGACAAATAGAAATATAAAAATATTAGTCACAGGAATTTCCTGTGATGTTGGGCGATGGGTGGGTGGGTGAGTTATGGTCTCAAATTGACCCATCCGCTTGCAAACGGATTGGTATAATTGTGACCCGCTATCCACCCACATTCTTCTGCGGGTCGGGTTGGGTGGGTGGCGGTTGGATCGTGGGTTAACCCTCAAACATCCCCCCCCTCCCATTTAAACCTTCACTCACGAGAATATCCAAAAAATTGTAATTTATGTTTGCTAAAATAACTAGAAAATCTTATAGTATTCATAGGAAGAGTCGCATTTGAAATAGTTAACAAGTATGGAGTACTCTTCTCGTGTTTCACCCTTCTTTCATCCACCCTCCTCCTGTTGTAATTTTGGATTACTAAAGATAAATTACAAAAGTTAGATTCATTGCAGCACTATAAACATGTATCAAAATAACATTACTAATATCACATTCATGCATATAATTATACATAAGGGATTGAGTGGTCTATACATGCTAAAATTATGAATCAAATTAGGAATCAATATACTTATCCAATATTATCAAAGTTAAAGAGTGTTCTAAATCTGCTTTCATAAGTCTAACACTCAATTACATAGTGTTCTAAATCAACTACTACCAACGCTAAACAAGCTACTATCTCAATGAGAGAATCAATCTTCCAAAAGTTAGTAATCCAATGTTCTAAAGTTGCTTTCATAATCTATTTTGCTCTCCAAACAACAAAAACAACAACTCAATCATAGTGAAACCATACAAGCATTAACATAAACAAAAATCAACAACAATTATCAATTTTTTATTTGGTTCTAGACTTCCTCTAGATCATATACAAGGAGCACATACTCCTACCAACAATAAGCAGTCACTATCTGCACTGAAAGAAACAACCTAACAATTATAGTCAAAAGCCAGGAATCAAGTTAATTATCTAAAGCTACCTTCATAAGCAACATCTTTCTCCAAAGAAAAAACATCAGCTCAGTCATAGCAAAAATGATACATGCAATAGCATAAACCAAATTATGTAGCAATTACAAGTTGTCTATCTGATTATAAGCTTCCTTTACATGACATACAAGAAGCAACCACTCTACCAAACGCTAAACGACCTATTATCTCAGTGATAAAAACACCTACCAATCACAACCAAAACTCGGGAATCTAGTTATTGAAAGTTGCTTTCATAAGCAACTTCATTCTACAAACAAAAACAAAAACAACAGCTCAATCATAGTGAAATTCATACAAGCATCAGCAGAGAAACATAATTATGCAGCAACTAAAGTGGTTTATTTGGTAATATGCTTCCTTTACATGACATACAAGAAGTAGCATCAATAGAAAACCAAGTTGTATTATAGGAGGCAAAATTGTACATACCTAGTGTTGTCGATTTTGACTACTTTTAAAGATCGCTTGCAACTTCTTTACTTGAGTCTTCAAACCAGTCAATCTTCAGCTTGTTCTGAAATGGTCCCTTTTAGTTAATGACCCTTAAATCTAAGTACGATTACGTCTTTGCACAGGTAGACTAATAGCACCCTATTTTTTCTTCTCTACTCATAGTGTCTTCAGTCACTTTTCACTAAAATAATTATGTATAAGTTCAACTTCTTAACTTCATAAAAGAGTCATATTACACAGACAAGAAGAGGACATTTTTTTAAAGACAATTTTGACAAATGTCAGTAAATTGAAGTGTTTTCTGACATTTATCATAAATGTAAGAATAAATATTTGTATTGCGACACTTATTGTTGACATCATCTAATTTTCATATTAATATGAATGTTTTCTTATATTAAGAGAAGTGTTACTAGAAAAGTGTCGGAATATAAGAGTAATTTGTGACATAAGTTGGTCACATAATTTAATGTCACAATAACTTAGCTGCTACTCTGACGTTAGAAGAAATGTCACTAGCTAAGTGTCAAACTAATACATGTATCGTGACATTAATGCTGACATCGTCTAATTCTCACAACAATATAAACATTTTTCTGACATTTGGAGAAATGTTACAAGAAACTGTCAGAATATAAAAGTATTTGTGACGTTAAAAGAAATGTTACTAGCAAAGTGTCAGTATAATATATGTATATTGTGACATTTAATGTTGACATCATCTAATTGTCATACTTAAATGTCAAAATAACTTAGTTGCTCCTCCGACGTCAAAAAAATGTCGGCAGCGAATTGTCAGTATAATACATGTGTTGTGACATTAATGTCGATGTCTATAATTGTCAAAAAAAATACTTTTTCTAATATAAGGAAACGATACATAAGCACCACTTCACCAATAGTCAGACGAAGATTGACCATCGGTAGGTCAACAATTAACTCTAACAGTCAAACGAATTTCGCATAACACAAACGATGCTGACCCCTAATAGCGTGAAATATTACAAATGAAAAAGTTGTTCAAAAATTATAT